GATAGTTTCTTCAAAAGATCCGAGTTTCTCAACAAACATCTTCTGAGATGTAAGGATCGTGTGAAACATATTTACCCAAAGAACGTATATGAGCTTCGCGAAACCCTGTTTGAAAAGCTAGAAGGATTCAATCTTCCAGTTTCCGATGATTAAAAACTCTTCAAAAACCTAGCAATTTTCGATTTTGAGTCGATTTGTGTTCCTACAGAAGAGCTAAAAGAAACACAAACTACTACCTGGATTGGAAAACATGTCCCCATTTCAGTCTCTATATCATCAAATCTGATTGATGAACCCATCTTTTTGTACAACAAGGATCCACAGAACTTGATTATTGATTTTGTAAGCAAACTCGAGCTGTTGGCTGAGAAAAGTAAGCTGGAGATGAGAACAAATTTCCAAGATATTGAAGTTGCTGTCAATGAAAGAATGAAAAAAATCTTTGATCAATTGAATGAGCGAGGCCAGAATTTTTCAAGTAACAAGTTTGAGTACGAAGACGAATGTATTGAAGATTCGGAAGAAGCAGATATGTCAACACAATTCTTGCGAATTCAGAAAAATCAACTCATCGATTTGAAACAACATCTGGAGAGATATATAAATACTTTACCTGTTTTTGGATTTAACAGTGGTAGATATGACTTAAATTTGATCAAGTCCTACTTAATCCCTTATTTGATTCGCGATAAAGAGCAAGAAACATCCGTTATCAAAAAAGCAAATGATTTTATATCTTTCAAGTTTGGAGATGTACAATTTCTTGGCATTATGAAATTTCTGGGTGGAGCAACAACTCTGGACTCATTTCTCAAAGCTTATAAAGCTAGTGAAACAAAAGGATTCTTTCCTTATGAGTGGTTTGACAACCCTGACAAACTTGATTTTCCAGGACTGCCCCCATATGAAGCATTTTTCAGTAAACTTAGAAACAACAATCCACTAGACAAAGACTTTACTGATTATGAAAAACTGAGGAAGAGTGGACTTGATGAACAGCAAGCACTGAAAAAGCTTCAAATCAACACTGTACCCGCATCTGGTCTAGATAATTACAGTTACTTACAACAAACTTGGCAGAAAAACGGAATGACTGTGTTCAAAGACTTTTTGCAGTGGTACAACAACAAAGATGTAGTTCCAACCCTGGAAGCAATGCAAAAAATGATTCAGTTTTATCATAGCAAAGGAATAGACATGTTGAAACTTGGATGTACACTTCCAAATCTAGCAAACATATGTCTACACAGATCTACAAATTACAAGTTTTATCCATTTTGCGAAAGTGATAAAGATTTGTGTGAAAAAATACGAGAAGACATGACCGGTGGGCCTTCGATTGTGTTCACTCGAAAAGCTGTTGTAGATGAAACCTTTATCAGAGATTCATCAAATATTTGTAAGTCAATCGTTGGAATTGATGCGAGCCAGCTTTACCCCTATTCAATGTGTCAAGATATGCCAACAGGACTGTATACGAGATGGGAGCTTGACACTGATATGCAGAAATTCAAGGCTAGACATAATCGAACTCGCAACTTTGAGAATATGGTCATGTCTTTCTATCAAGAATCAAGACCAGAATGTAAAATTGAGAGCTTTTTTACATCTGGAAAACAGAAGAAAATTGACTGTTTTAATGTCGACGGTTATTGTGATCACTGTAAAACAGTATTCGAGGCAATGGGATGCTACTATCACTTTTGTTCTTGTCAAGAAACTCGTCCCTCCTTAACAGAACAGGATATCGAGCGAGGAAATAAGAAGAGAGAGATGGATGAGATGAGACGAGAATACATTCAAGAGAAAGGATATAAAGTTGAAGAAATGTGGGAGTGTGAGTGGTGACAAAATTTCAAAACCAATGACAAGATCAAAAATCATGTTCGAACCCACTTTCCCTACAAAAGACCCCTTTCTACAGACTCTCTTCTAGCAAAAATAAAAGATGGATCTCTTTTTGGTTACGTTCAGTGTGACTTAGTTGTTCCAGATGAACTGAAATCGAAATTTGCGAATTTTCCTCCAACTTTCAAAAACACTGAGGTTGGAAGAAACGATATTGGTGACTATATGAAGAATTATGCTATTGAAAATGAAATGTTGAAACATCCACAGAGAATGCTTATATCTAGCTTCAAGCTAGAAAATGGAACAGTTATAACTCCTCTCTTCAACTTTTATTTAGAACTTGGCTTGCAATGCACCAAAATTTATCGTTTTGTTGAATATTCTCCTCGGAAATGCATTAATAATTTCGTTCAGTCAGTGGTTGATGCAAGAAGAGAAGGAGATGAAAACCCTCTATCAGGAGTTGTAGCAGAAACAATGAAGCTCTTGGGCAATTCCTCCTATGGATATCAGATCATGGATAGATCCAGACATACAATCACGAAGTATCTGAACGATGAAAAAACTCACAAGGCAATCAATGAACCACTGTTTAAGAGACTTAACACAGTTGAGAAGGACTTATATGAGGTGGAGTCAACCATTGAGCACAGAGAACCCATCATTGTTGGTTTTTTCATACTTCAGTATGCAAAACTGAGAATGTTGGAACTCTACTATAACTTCTTTGACAAGTTCTGTGATGTAAATAAATTTGAAGAGTTGGAGATGGACACAGACTCACTTTACTTGGCACTTGCAGAAGAAAATTTGTACGATTGCATCCAACCAGATAAGAGAGCTGCTTGGGAAAAAATGAGGGAGAGTGATTGCAGAGATTCCTTCAAGGCGGATGCAAAATCCAATTTCTTTCCTCGAACCTGTTGTAGTGTCCATAAAAAACATAATAAGCGGGAGCCGGGACTTTTCAAAGAAGAATTTAGGTGCACAGAAATGCTCTGTTTATGTAGTAAGACATTTTGCTGCTATGACAACAAGTCAGACAAATTCAAATTTAGCAGCAAAGGATTGAATAAGCGGGTTCTAGAAGACTCTGGAGATGGACCTTTAGCAAAGTATAGGAGAGTGCTTGATGAAGCGATTAATCTTACATCTACTAACAGAGGATTCAGAACTATAAATCATATGGTGGCCACAGAAGAGAGCTGCTTGGGAAAAAATGAGGGAGAGTGATTGCAGAGATTCCTTCAAGGCGGATGCAAAATCCAATTTCTTTCCTCGAACCTGTTGTAGTGTCCATAAAAAACATGATAAGCGGGAGCCGGGACTTTTCAAAGAAGAATTTAGGTGCACAGAAATGCTCTGTTTATGTAGTAAGACATTTTGCTGCTATGACAACAAGTCAGACAAATTCAAATTTAGCAGCAAAGGATTGAATAAGCGGGTTCTAGAAGACTCTGGAGATGGACCTTTAGCAAAGTATAGGAGAGTGCTTGATGAAGCAATTAATCTTACATCTACTAACAGAGGATTCAGAACTAGAAATCATATGGTGGCCACATATGAACAGACAAAGAAAGGACTAAGCTATTTTTATCCAAAAAGACAAGTACAAGATGATGGAATTCATACAAAACCACTGAACTTATAAGAACTGATCTGGTCAAGTAAACTTATTCATGATGTTGTATTATATTGGGTTTATGATGTTAAAATGTAAAATGTTGCGGTAAACTTGTTATACAATGCAGTGATTTATATACTTTCTTTGTAATTTAAACTTTTTTCTCAAAAAACTTGACTTTTTTTGAAGTCTCTGTAGGTTCAGAATAGATTCAGATAGGTAGAAAGTAAAAGTATCTAATAAATTTTTATCATATCAAATTAAACAAAATCTTATCGTGTTTTGAATTTTTTCGAAAAAATTTTTCTGATAAAAATTCCAAGTTTTTGCACAAAAACTCTTACCATTGACTTACCATCCACCAAAAAACTAAATACATAACCTTTATTCTACAATCTACACGTAATTAACAATTAATTGTTCCCAATTAGGTAACGCGCGCCCAGATTTTTGTGAAAAAATTAGACATTTCCTCACAAAAACCAAAAAAATTAGGTTTTTCTTACCATTATCTTACCATCACACAAACCATAAAACCTTACTATTGGTTTTCCCTATCCTTATACATTGTAGACTCTATACCCTATCTTAATACATAGGTGGCTGACCGGATACTCTATAGCCTATGTTAATACATGGAGGTCAGCCACCTCCCCCCCTGATCACCTCCAACATCTACTACTAGCCAAACTACCCAAGATCCAGAAATATTAGAAAGATAGTTTTGCCTCTTTTGATAGATTTAATTTCATTGATATTTGCCGGGCTGTTGGGGGGGGTGGGTTTTTGGGGTTCAAAAAAATTGAAAAATATTGTCGACCTTTTCTGTTCTATGCTTGATAACATTGATTTTCTGAGCTCCCCTAAATCACTATAAATACCCTATATTGACCATAAAGGCGTTTTAGGCACATTTTGGCGCGCTTCCCTCCTAACAGTAGAATTTATTGGCGCCGAAGGTGTCTATATAAAAACTTTAGGGTCGCTTTACCCAAAATGGAATGTCTAAATAATATGCCTAAAAAGCAAACCCCCCGCCTTCTAAATCCACCTCTGTTATAGACAATCAACCTACTTTTTCGTATTAGCTAGTATTTTTTTTGAGTTACTTGCTCCACCATTTCTGATCTTCTTATGTACAAACAATTATCTATTTAGGAAACTCAATGTAGAAAAACTAGAAGCTGAAATTGTTATCTAAATCTATCATTTATTATTCAGCTATTTTTACTCAATACTTAATTTTTCAATTTTGTTTTTCGTTTTTACTCGCTCTACTTAGATCACTGTTGGCGGTCCATTTGCGCTAATTGCATCGCAAATAGCTATCCTTCTTGTTATTTAGAATTTCATAGATATTGGACGCAAAAACTAACAGGAAAATATGTTTTGAAACCTCGATTGAATCCTGCACACATCATTGTATTACGTGAAAAAAAAACATCACTGCACATGCACACATCATTGCATCTTACTATTTTTTTCTCAATTCATTTTTGTTAAGTTTGTGTTTCTGCAACTTTAGAGCAAATCCGAGCAGCTGGACTGGACAAGATCTCTATCGAACTTCACCATTACCAGACTGAAGTTGAGTACGAAACATGGCTGGCAATGCTACGTTCCAGACACTTCTCCTTTCTCAGGAATCTGAGAGCGGAAGAAGTAGAAGACGGGATCGAGTTTGAAATTGAGCCCAAATATTCGGACATGGACAAAATTTCTTTCAAAGACAGCTTTGTATACTTAACTGTACTGCCAACTTCGTGAAATTCCTATCAAAAAATCATAAACCTACAAAAATAAAAAATTTTGCAATTAACTTTTCGCCGCTTTTCTGCCCAACTATAATACGCATATCTCGAAGAATTTAAAATTTGAGTAGAAACGTTCTGAAAGGATTATATGACTGAATAATCTAGGATGTGAGCAATCAGACCAGCATAAGCGTTCCGGGAGGTGTGGGCAACTGTCTCATTGCAGGGTTCCAAAATTTTCGAAATGCTTTTTTTAAGACATCAGAGCCGATAAAAATCTATTTTAATAGCTTCCGAAAGATATTCAGAAACGCTATGGTTTCTTCCAAAAAAAATGACAACGACTGAAAAAGTTTTGCACAACCTGGCTTTTCAACTTGTAATTATTATAACAAACTGCTCGCAATAGGGCAAAGCCCAAATTGTTCCAACTGCCTTTTTAGCTCTATGGAAAAGAATTCGCCTTAACAAAATTGTTGCTAAATGAAACAATTTTGTTTTTTAGTTTTTTTTCAAAAACCATTCCCATACGCTATGTGTAAAGTATACAATGATTTGTTTCCCAGATAGCAAAGTATTAAATCGATCGAACAAGACTCATATATGCTCCTATCAAGTCAAAGCCCTGAATGTTTCGACTGCACAAAATATACAGCGCGTCAATTATCACTGAAAAATCTGGAAAGCCACTCTTTTCAATTGAAATTCCAGAAAAAAAACATTACGAGGCCAAACTGTGCACTGGATAGGCGCTCAATTTTGTGTCTGTATGTTCCTGGATTCCAGAGACAAGTCTTTAAACATGTTAAAACTTTGTCGGAGCGATCAAAGGAAAGTAAAGAACAAAAGAAGAACAAAAGGAGCGTCCTTGTTGCGGAATCCGCTTACAATGCTCAAAATGCAGTTTGGTCTCGCAATGAAACTTATCGTTTTCGAAGAACCCTTCGGCAGAAGAAAGAAAGGATGTGCGATTTTGCTTGATCGAAACTTCGTACAGGAGTAAACCCTTTCTTAACTTATTCGGATGGGGGCTTAGGAACTTAGACGACAGGAAATTATACGATCAGAAAGTAACGGATTTTAGGCAATAACTTGCGTGCAAATTGCGTGAATTTTGTTTACAGATTTAAATTAATTTTTGGCTGAGTAAATACTGGTTGTCCGTAAATCCGTTTCTTTGCGGTCGTCTTATTTGCTTGTAGTCTAATTTCCTAGGCCCTATCTGGATGATATCAAGACCATTTTCCCACATTTAATCAATCAAAACCATTTCTAAGACGGATTAAAATTTCCACTTACGCGTTATTACGGATTGAGGTTTAGCATTTGAACTCCTCGCTTCCTTCAGCAATTTGAACAAAAACATGCCCTTTAATTGGTCTCCGATAGTTTTTAATTTTAAAAAAAGTATTGGCAAAGCTATGATTTTAGGCTGATAATATCAAAAAATAAAGGTTGCAATTTGAGTAGTAAATGGAGTTAAAAAACCCAATTAGCTGCCTCAATTCAAATTGCAGCGTTTTGTATTGCGGGATTTAAAAAAAGCTGTTTTAGGCATTCTCAAGGCAGTTTACTATAGGTGGGTGCACACTCGGCTGGGCCCCATGCAGATCAAGAAATCGATGCATTGAGCGACCAGGAATGGGTCTGAATAAAAAAAAACACGAGCACATATATATTCCTCGTTTTCTTCGATCATCGGAATAATAGCACGCCAAAATTAATCGGGAATGATTTCAAAGGCGGAATAAATCTCCGCTTACGCGTTATAAGCACAAATTTTATTGCCGTTCAACTCGGTTGTTTTTATAAGCATATTGATTTCTGATTCTTCTGTGTAAGTGTTGTTGAAACTTTGTTTTACTAAACTGTTAACGTGATGGCATGGAGTTGAAGTTATAGGAAGCCATCCTGGACAGGGGTGTCTTCTGGACATTCGAGAACGTGGGAAAGTTTATTCTGAGCCAGTTGGGCATTCATTTCACAAAGAGGCGTAATATCTGTCTCTCTCGTTCTCTTTGTGTGAACTCGAAATATTTCCACATTGGCATTATTAGCGGCTGCAATTCGATTTTTCCTCTGCTTCTGCATTCAGATCAGGATCTGCTATTGGTACTGGGTCCGGTTTTGCGACTGGGTGTGCTAGCTTTGTAAAATTTTGCAATTTCACCAAGAATTAATTGGGCTTTTTTAGTTTTGAGTCATATGTGAAGTTTTCAATCTCTATCATGTAAATTTGTCGGAGACTCCGATTGTGGAAAAATTTCAGTGCCTGCGGTGTCAAATCGATGTATCCGCGCGTTGCCTCTGGTAAAATCATGAAGAATTGCAAAGCTACGTCCTTTGGCTCATTTTTCAGGAAATTTGGAGCTTGAGCGTTCTTGATGTTGATTAGATCTCTCTTACTTCTGAATAAAGATTCAAACTCGATCCAGCTCTTAAAAGGAGTGCACCGAAATTTGTTGAGAAAATGCATACTCGGAAAAGATACTCAAGCATATGCAGTGAAATGATAGAAAAACATCTATCAAAATCGTAATGGGAAAGCATATGATTGATAACTTCTGCTCGTTTTTGCAGCAAATCGACAACATATAAATCATACAACTCGTTAACCCATCAATTCATCTTTTTGATATTTTTTTTTGCTTAAATAAAATGAGAAAACCTTTTCAATTGCAACAAAAACTTGTTTTGGCAACAACAATCTGTCAATTTTTGTTCCCTATAGTTGCAGCAGCTTAGTAGCTCCCCTAGTCAATCACCAATTTACAAAAACTCTGGGCTTTAGGCCTGATACCTGGAAATGCTCACTTACTACATTAGTTTTGAAAAGTTCTGACACTGAAAAAGTCTTAACACAAAAACAGGCAATGCCAGGCAACTGCGGATATTAAGGAGGCATCAGCTGACCTAGCTTAAGCAAGGGAGATAGTAAGAAGGGGTATAGATGAAAAATGTTGGCCTTCGGCAATAATATACCAAACCCTGCAAGTAAGGTGATATATCAAAAACTTTATGAGCCGACAGAAGATCAAGCTTGAAACAGGAGGGGCCCTTGAAAAACTTAGCTGATATGTCAGTCAGAGTTTTATGTGAAGTGTTTAATTTTTGGACCAAAACATCCAGTAAACGAAATTCTTTTCCTTGCAGATTTTGATAAACTTTTGTCTGAGCTGAAATTCAATAGAATAGATGGGGAAAAAACCGGCCAAAATTGAAGCAGCTGCAAAGAGATAAGCTACCCATATGAAACGGACAAACTCTGAGAAAGGAGTTGGAAAAGCTAGAAAGTATTTGCTGGACAATGGTTTTCTGGCAGAGCCATTTGATTAGGGGTAGGTTTTAAAGTATTGAAAAAGGAGACATATGAGATCAAACTAGATGGTTTGTTGCAGGCAGACTTATGTAGAGAATTTGACACACAGTGTTATCAGAAAAATTTCAAAAGACAAAAACGAAGAACTTTTTGCGATGAAAAAAGGACGAGATTAGCGACGCGCAGTATACTAGGTTAAGGTCAATGGGGACGCATCCAGCTATGCTTTAATTCAAACAAGGCACATCTTTTTATTTGCTGGTAGCTCGTATGAGCACCTAAACAAAACCTTGGCGAAATGCTTGCGGGGATTATCATAGACACGAACATTCAAATGGCCGAGAGAACTTGGAGAAAACAGAATTGGACTCTGATGAGAGTTATAACTTTTCCTGATGTAAAGAGCCTTGAGTAGATTGTATGAGCAAACCAATCCTGCTGAATTATGTCGCAAACAAATGCAAGAAAACTACTAAGTTTGCCTGTGACTAAGGTTCACTTTAAGTACAATGGTTTGTGGTATGTACAAAAACACGCATAGCCTAGGTCGCCTCCCTAGCTCTTCTTAGTGCCAGTTTGTGGCTCAAAGCATACGAATCTTCATTTAAAAAAAGTATCAAAACTGACGTTACTAAATGAAGTTGACAACAAAGTCTGCACTGGATGTCAGAAAAAGGTATTACATGGAACTAAAGGGATACAATGCAAAGCCTGCTCGAAAAAAATTACCTAGGGTAGCTTATTGGAGTCCGACTACCAAAAATCGTTGAAATAGTCTGATATTGCAGGATTTGCAAAACTCAACATGAAACAGATCGGACCGAGAAGGGCGCTCAAGTTTTTCTGAAATATGTGGATGACATAGTCAGAACTATGAGGGTTGATCCTACGGTAGTCTTCGAGGCTGCAAATATATTGCATTCAAACCTACAGTTTACCCTAGAAGAATTTGGTATTATCGGTAACTTTGGAATCAAAATTAATTTTGGACCCTTGATAATAATTCACATGCGGTTGGAATCAAAAACACTACTGATAACGGGACCATTCTTAGTTTTAGAGGCTGCGTTTTATTGAAAGTACGGCTATTGGGTTTTTCGTAAGTACTTCATTTGGGGAACAGTTTACAAAGCATCAAAAAAATCGGAAACAATGGATTCGGAATCAATATCCGGAAAAATGCTCAGACAAGTTAGTCTTTGAAACTCCTAACAAGATCACGGCAAAGAGGCACGATCACAGCAAAGAGGCAAGATCACGGCAAAGAGGCAGCTAAAAGATAAATGGTTGCAAGACTCATCTCCCCTTCTATGTCGATGCTCTTCATTGCAACTACTAGCTGAAAAGGTGCAAAAAGTTGCTAAATTTGGCTGCGATGCAAAACGTTGCTAATTTTTGATGCAAAAAGTTGCTCAATTTGACTGTGAGTAAGGTTCACTTCAAATGCAACGGTTTGTGGTATGTACTGAAACAGGGTCTAGCAATGGGTTCTTCCCTTGCAGCAAATTTAGCCGACTTGTGGCTCAAAGAAAACGGACCAGCTTAATCGAAGGAAGTACCACATTTGACGTTGTTAAAAAAGTATCACGATATAGTATGTCCTAGTTGTCAGAAAAAAGTTGCATGGAAAACTATGGCAGTAGAAAGTGAAGCCTGCTTGAATTGGTACCACTTGAACTGTGGCAACATATTAGGGTCCAAAAACGCTAATATTTCTAAAGCAGTCTGACATTGCAGGACATGTTTGAATCAACCAAAAATGGATCGCCATAATAAGATTCCATTGGCATGTGGACGGATTGGCATATGGGTGACCTATTCAAAACTGTGAGGGATCTAACTGGGGCTGTCCTCGAGATTGTTAACAATTTGCAACCGAATTTGCGTTTTACTTAAGAAGAATTAGATGACAACGGTATTTGACCTTCCTGAATGTCGACTCAAACGTGAATGTCGACTCACGGAGATAAGTTAAATAGGGTAGTACAATGGTTAAACGTCATCCCGTGCTAAAATTTAAGGTTAAAACTTTCGAAAGAACAACTCAGAATTGCGATAGGACTTCGATTAGGCTCAAAAATATGCGAACGGCATAAATTTGTGTGCGGAAAAGACGTTCCCGAAGATGGTTGGCATGGTCTTTCTTGCCTTAAAAACGCCGGGAGATTCTCTAGGCATTCAAAATTGAATGCCCTTATCAAGCAGATTTTATCTTTTACTCACCTTACGTCCTTCCGTCTGTTTTAGAATGACGACACCTCTACAGGGTCGATCAGAAGCGACCAGACGGTTTGACGCTTTTTCCATGGGCAGTTGGTAAGCAGCTCTTGTGGGATCTAACGGTAGTGGAATCCTAAGCTAATTGTAGGATTAATGCCGGGTCTTTTTGTTACCCTGGTACGGCTGCCTCTGAAGCGGAAGAGCGAAAAAATGACAAGTATAAAGATCTAGTAGATGATGGGTATCTTTTTCAACCGCTAGCTTTTGAGATTCAGGGCGCGGCCGGCCCCAGCAAAGAATTTTTTTTGAGCAAGCTTTGTAAGAACCTAAGCATATGCACTGAGGAACCCAGCGCAGGCAGCTTTTTAAAAAAGAGAATTTCCCTGGCAATACAGATTGCGAACGCCGCTTGCGTACTCGGAACATTAAATGAAAAAACAACTTTCGACGAAGTTTTTTATTTGTAACACCTGTATATTATTTTTTCTCTTGTCGAGTTGCGGGTTCTTGTTGAAGAAACGTAACCCGTATCGATTTTAATTGTAAGGACATCTGTGCCATTCCCTTGGATTGGCACAGCGGAACCTTACGTCGCAGCACGAAAAAGAAATTAGAGGCCTTAGTGATCATGTATTGTTGAAAAGGAGGCTAGAATATTCTGGAATTTTTAATTTTCGAAAATTCGATTGCAGACAGTCTATTTCTGAGAAATACGGGAAATGGCCATTTTTGGCTAAAAAGTGACAAAAAACAGAACAACAACTGAAATGGCGAGTGGCAGAGGGTGGCAGAGGGTCAAGAAAACTGAAGAAAAAGACGAAGCCTCTTATTGTGACGATCGCGAACGATAAGACAACTAATTGGTTACAATAGACCGAAAGGAGGCTTCAATGGGGCGGACGGAAGAAGAAGTACCCTCCGGAGCCACGAATATGCAGCAATAACGACGTTGTTGCACTGAAAGCACGGAATCGGAGGCTCGGCACCCCAGAGACCATCATATGGTGAAGGACTATAATAAACTGACTTTTTAGCTACTCTGATGTCATAAACATTTGAATTAACACCGGTATGATTTGTTATTCTAGAATATAAATAGCTAGAAAGAGGAAAGGGTCAATCCATTTCCAATGGATATAATATAGAACTGTCACCAAAAACATAGTAAATTAGGTTATTCGAGCCGTGTTTTTAATAGCAATCACGTAGTCTGGGGATCCGAGACCCAGCTATGTGGTTGTATTCGCATGTAAACGAAAGCTGATTAAAAATTGTTTGACTGATGGCCTAAGAATGGTAACTTTTTACTTAGCTCTAGACAGACCAGAAAATCAACTGGCTAGGTCAAGACGGTGAAAAACGAGTAGAATTTAGGTCTACGCTCTGTCACTGTGTAGTTTTTGGGCGAAAATTCTAATTGTTGTGCTAAACTTATTAAATAGTTTTCAAATTTGGAATGGTCGGAGAGACGCAGACGACGGCAAGCAAACGACGGGGATCGACGAATACAAATGACAAATGCGGAAAGTGCGAGCAAGCCGACAACCTCGGTGACGAGGGCAATTGGATTAATTGCGAGCAATGCCGACGTTGATTCCATGCTGTTTATGCAGATATATCGAAAGAATTTTTCTTGCTTATCAAACCAATCAGCAATTTGTTCTTCGTTTGCAATTCTTGTAAATCGAGTGCCAGAAAGAAATTGCAAGCAGACGCTCACATTGATTACGATTCTGTGGAAAACGATATCTCTTCTTCGGTCAAGGAAGCTCTAGCAAGCTCTCCGGCCAATGAACAACAACAGCGAAACTATGCAGATGCGACTGCATCTGAAGTGACTGGAACACAAGTGGCTCGAACAACTCATGACCAGAACTATGTTTCACAGAGAAATCAATACGAAATCCGCGTTGATGAAATATCCGAACTTGATGCCCCTAACGCAGCAGAACGAATTGAGAGTGACCGCCAGACCATGTCGAATGTGCTCACATACCTAGATGAGGGTCCTGAGCTCGGACATGTCGACAATATTGAACGACTCGGAAGATTTGACAAAAGCAAAAAACGGCCACGAACAGTTCTCTTAAGGTTCAAAACAGAATTTGTCCCACGAAAGATATTAGCGAAAGCGTATCTGATGAAAGATTATGACAAAAAATTCTACATTTCCCCGTCTCTTTCCCCGACTCTTTCCCCGTCTCTTTCCCCGAAAGTGACAGGAAAATAGAACAGAAAATTTTGAAAAAACGACGTGAATTTTTTCGACGTAGAAAAAGTTGACAGACAAGTTCTCAAAGTCCGCAATTTGAAATTGTATCTCGGGAAAAAAATTAGTCGAAATAGACTGACTATCACCAAGTTCACAAACTCAGGCGAGTGTACACTCAGGCGAGTGTTTTTTTAACAATGAACGCACGATCTATTGCTAAATTCAATGCAATTGATTGTTTACGGGTAGAAGCATTTGCATATAAACCTTCAGTAATCACTGTGACAGAATCATGATTGAAAGATTCCAAGCATGAATCAACTTTTTATGAAATATCGGGATACACAATTTTCCGTAGAGACAGATCACATAAGAGTGGTTGTGGTATCTTGATGTACATGAAAAATGATGTTGAAGTTATTCAGCACATTAAACCAAGTTTCAACAATTTTGAGTATCAAATAATCCACTGTCAGTTTCAACGATCAACTTACCTGGTGGTTTCATTATATCACCCCCCAGTACATGATTACGAAGAGAAAGATCTCATAAACGACATATCACAGAACATAATGGTTATTACTGAAGAAATTAGAAACAACTACATTTTAGTTATCACAGGTGATGCAAACAGACTAGATCTCTCGACTTTCACAGAAGAACTCCAGTTGACCAACATCGTCCGTGAACCAACACGAGGAGACCGCTCGCTGGATGTGTTACTCACAAAAAGACCTCGGTATTACTCGGTCGAAGTTTTTAGTTTAACCGTTCAGACTGACCACCAATCATTTTTTGCTAAACCAACACAATTGCACATTGTCCCTCCTTTCAAACGTACACACCATTTTCTTGACCGTCGCCCTCAAAACAAAGAAGCAATCCTGAAAACTAATTTGGCAGAAATTCTAGAGCAAGATCTAGACAATGTGTATACACAATTCACTGAAAATGTACTTGCAGAAATACAGAAGAATATCCCGGTTATAAAAGTGAATATGTCAGAGAGAGATCCACAGTATGTGTCTCCGCTAATAAAAACACTTCTTTAACGGCGTAACGCTATTTCAGACAACGTCGCCTCAGAGATGCTAACAACCTATCAGAACGAATAGGAACTCTAATCGCCAGAAACAGATCTAGTTAGTTGGCAGAATCGTCACGCGGCACATAAAAATGGTGGCAAAAAGTGAAAGACATTGTTAAACCTGCCAATAAAAAACCAGAGAAGGTGAGACCCGAAGAGTTGAATGAGTATTTTGCCGATTTAAACACTGACTCGAGCTATATATTTACACCAAAGAGAACTCCCATAACCAAAATCCCCCCAATTACCACTGCAGAAGTTCATCAAGCACTGAAACGGCTAAAGAAAACGGCTAGTGGACCGGATGGATTACCCCTGTGGAAAGAATATGCAGACGAACTCAGTCCTATAAAAGCAACAATTTTTAACCGATCAATCATCGAAGGAAAAGTTCCAATTCTTATGAGGTCTTCTAACATTTTACCGATTCCAAAGAAAAACAACCACAAAACGTGTGGTGACTATCGTCCAGTGTCAGTTACCCCTATTCTGGCTCGTTTGTTAGAACGAGTTATTGTGCATAAGTATTTGGCACCTGTCATAGAATCTCATCTCTCCAATTCGCAGTTTGCTTTCAGGAAAGGAAGTTCCATTGAAACATGCCTTCTACAGATACAGCACCATATAGCACATAGAATCTAGACAAAAAACGATGCAGATGTTAAAAAGGAGTGAATTAAATTGAACCAGAAGAAAAAGAGCGTTTATACCGCACAGTTTACAGTTGAAGCAGTAAAGCGAAGGGTGTGTGTCAACTAGTTGCCTCAAGGATGCATCCAGCGTTCCCGCGCTGAATCGCTAGGTCTAGCTTTTGTTTGAGAAATTTAAAAGCTAGTTTCTCACCTGTTAAGACTGTTATTCGCCTTGCAAGTTCTTTCAAGAAAATTGGCATAGACCTACCAGCGCCTTCCATGGCAACGGGTTTGAAAATTACAGTGGAAGGCAGGTCTGAATAGTGATTTCTTTTGCGGACTTCGGCCTCGGATGCTGCATTGGCACCCGGAAGAACTCCCATTCGCAGATTAGAGTTTGCTAAACGACTTATACATGTGAAATCCCATGCCAAGTTCCGTCCTCGCTGCCATGGCATTAGTGTGTGTCCATCTGGTCTGCGTCCATCTTTGCGTGGCAGCCCGATAGGTTCTAGTGTGGAACTGATGCCGAGTGATTTTATAGAATCTTTAATGATCATGTTGCCATTCGAGTGTCTGATGAACCTGTGCTTGATCTTCGGACAGACAAGTGCGTGTCTTCCATCTGTTGCTGCGACATAGCTACATTTGCACGTGTGGTGTGCGGTTACTGGGGCTCCTAGACGCAGACCAGCTGAAATACGGAACTCATCATCGGACAAAGTCAGACCCAGCGGACGAGAAGGAAGGACGTCCAGGCAAGCAGATACGTGCGGATACGTCCAGCCATGCAGATACGTGCGGACTTTTCTAGTTGACTTTTCAAAAGCGTTTGATTTGGTGAATCACAACCTATTGCTAGATAAAATTGCCAAGTTGCCTTTGCCATCAGCAGTTTTTAATTGGTTCGTTGATTTTCTCGCAGAACGACAACAACGAGTTGTTTTTGATTGACAGACAACGAATTTTCTGTGTATCAACAGAGGAATACCACAAGGAACCGTCAGTAGACCTTTGCTTTTTGCTTTTTCGTGGAAGATTTGCGAACAATAAACAGCCATGTTAGATTATCCAAGTATGCCGACGATGGCACTTTAACGGTCCCGGTGTATGATGGTCATGGGGACAGCTCACCAGAAGAAATGAACAATATCCAGACTTGGTGTCAGCAAAATTCATCGGAAATCAATTTGAGTAAAACAAAAGAAATGGTGTGCTCATTTTCGAAAAGTATTTTGAGCAACTTACCCAACGCTCTGTTGAATATCGAGCAAATTAGGTCGACCAATTTACTTGGCTATATATTTCAGTATGACTTGAAACCCAAAGCCCACTTAGAGATGATTTGGAAAGAAATAGCCCGGAAAATGTACCTGCTACGACAGCTCAGAAAGTACGGTATGCAGACAAGTGGCTTGCAATTGCTTTTTGATTCCTGGATTACAAGTCGCCTAACGTATTGTTCCACAGTCTATGGGAATGCATCAAGCACTGAAGTATCCAAAATCGACAGAGTACTGAAAAATGCTCACAGATCGAAATATTCAAAAGAAGAACTAACAGTACGCAACATAATTTAACGAAGAGACGAAGTTTTATTCCAGAAGATCGAGAAAAATGGGTCACACCTCCTACAAGGTCTGCTGCCTGCGCCACGGGAAAGTAATAATAACACTCGTCCCACTCGTGGACGAACTCCCTACATGCTGCCGAAGATTTGTACGGAATCTTTCAAAAAACTGTTTTTAAATAGGTGCTTGTTTGTCACATTTTAACTCTGGTCGTTTTGTTACGAGAGAACATTATTTTAATTAAGATTTTCTTGTCTTGTCTTGTCATTTTTTTTATCATTATCACTCCATATATAGAAAATTCCAAGGATTTTGACTGGAATACATGAAGAAGGGACTCCTGACTGTAACCTCGGTTACTATGATACGTTTGACCTTCTGATTATGGTAAAAACAAAAAGAAAAAATTTGTATCATAATAAAGCCCATTCAGTCGCGATTTGAACTACATTAGAAAATTTTGCAAAAAATCATGTGTCGAGAAAAACATTTTTAGCAAATTTTTGAAGTGTAGTCTAATTTGGAGCGAGTAACGCGATCATGAAGAGAAACGTTTTTTTTTTTAAATCTGAAAATTGGTCATTTAGGCTGAAAAGAAAAAGGATTGAAAACGACACTACAATTTAAAGCAAAAATTATTTTAAAAGTCTTACTTCGAATGTGCTCGGCACATTCTGAGCTACTTGCACAGCAACCCGCTATCCTTGTCTTAGTTGTTATCTCGGCACGTGATTATAGATGAAGAATTAAGTTTTGATTTTGTTTTGCGTTAAGCAGGCCAATGCGCTCCAAAAGGCGCAATACTGATTTTTTCCTAAGTCTGTTTGCACATTTACTGGACGTTCAATTAATACATAGTTACAGAATTTTACGGTTGGATGGATCAGATTATCCGCGTTTTAATTATTCAGATGACATGACTGTCCTTGAAGATATTTTGGCTAAAGGGGAAGTCGAAGAAGAGCTTTTGGTAGAGTTATCAGACGAGCAGAAAGTTGTTTTATTTTACAAAATTCGCCAAGAGCAGATCAAACGATGGGAAAAGCACTATAACAATGTCACAGATGAAAGCAAAGTTAACCGTTAGTTACCCGCAGATTTTAAACTTCCCATAAAAACTTAAGACAGTTATTGAAAAAGTATATATAAGAGACAAAAATTCGAGTCATATACGTATATCTTTACCTCGTTCACGTGTCAGTGAAAGAAATAGAGACCCTCATGAAGGTCTAGTGGTGTATTTTTTTAGAAAAAAAGTTTTAAAGTTTGTTGACGCTCTAAATTGATTTTTTTTTGCAATTTGGTTTTTGATTTCTTAAGTTCAAGTCATTATCGCTTGCGATTGTATTTTGACCCAGTTTTATCTAATCGGGTTAATTTTCACTGTCAATCATAAAATATTCTGAAATTCAAGAGCTCTTTATCTTGTGTTCTTCGAAAGAGTAAATCCTTTTTTCAATGTCCTTGAATTCAGTGAGACTTAATATAAACGTTGCGTAGAGGTTCTTTTAAAGCAGCTTTTTATACTTAAATTAAGTTTAGGTAAAACCGAGTTTCTCAAGGGCACTGATGGAAATGATTGGGTATGGGTCATGGGAGATGCACCTGGTGATGAGAGTTACGACCAAGTCTGGGTTAAGTACGCACTACAGTATGCCGAGCAGGAAGTAGCGAAACAACAGGGCACTGGAACCATAAATGCGTCTATAAACAATAATGTACCTGTATCGTCTGTTGAAGAGCTGAAAGGAGTTCAAAGAGTTGCTGCCGTTGCAGCTAGAATTGACGCACAGACCATTAGGTCAGTTCAATTTATAATTTGTAACAAATTTTGTTGACAATGTCTTGAATTTTCGAAATAATACTGGCATTCAGGTTAACTAATTCGAAATTGCTCTTTGAAGTGTCTCGTTTGCCTTTTGTCGGCGTTGAAAATCAAAATTTGTATGCAGATTGCTGCTGAATGCAATTGTTTGAAAGTCATACAGTGCTGATTTAAATTAACCGGACTAAATAAACAAAACTCGAATTTTCCAACGCATTTTCCTCAAATTGGGTTAAGATTAGACAAAAAATGAACAGAACAAAAGTTGCTCAGAATTTCACCAGAATTAATATGGTGCAATTTTTTCTCCAAAATTTTCAACCAAAATTTTACCCCAGAACCCAGAAATGGGTCAATTTGGCTTTTTTCAAATAATCAAAAATTACGCTGAAACTACTTTGTTAATTGATGAGAAATATGTATCGCAAGAAGCGTCCTACACAACCTAACAAAGGTTGAATCTCCAAAAGTTTGTGCAAATTGTTTAAAATTTGTTTTTAAGCAAAGATTTTGGGCTTTTTTTAGTAAAAATCACGTTTCTTGACTTTCACCCAAAAATAATTTCTCTTACACAGGTTTTTGGAGATTCAACCTTTCTCCAACTTTGTTGGGCTTTGTAAGAGGCTTCTTGTGATACACACTTCTCATCAATAAACAAAACAGTGTCAGCGTAATTTTGGATTAATTGAAAAAAGCCAAATGACCTATTTCTGGGGTAAATTTTTGGTTGAGAATTTTGGAGAAAAAATTGCACCATAATAATTCTGGTGAAATTCTAAGCAATTTTTGTTCTCACTTTTTGTCTAATCTTAAACGAACTTGAGAAAAACGCGTTTGAAATTTCAAAATTTATTCGATTCGTCCGGTTAATTTAAATCAGCACTGTATGCTTGAAGTTATTCAAAAGGCTGACGTCTCTGAAAAAGCGTAATGAGTTCGCTCTTTTGACAGTTCAAATGCAATTTTGAAAAGTCGGTGTAAACAAATTTGTTAAAAACTATAGAGTTGTTCTAGAGCACAATGTTTCCAAAATCTTGATCTTGCAAAAAACAAGAATATCCAGTTGCTGCACAAGTGAGAGTGCATGTTTCTTGTCATTGTGAAATGAATTTGAAAAATCTACTGGGAAAAAATGTTGAATGTTAAGAGTTGATGAACGAAATCTGTACGACTCTTATATAGGTCGTGATGATTTGTATTTTTTTTTATTTCAGGAAAAGTCGTAAAATTTTGTCAGGCTCAATTAGTTTTTGCAGCTTGTCTTTTGAATTTTTTAAAAGTTTTTTCCTTCGTTGAAAGGAAGGCAAACTCCTCTATCAATCAGCGAAAGTGTAAAAGTCACAAAAACATGATCGACTTCTAGTTTTGAAAGATGAATTTAATTATTGAGTTTCCCAGTGGAATGAAAATTTTGACTATTGATCCAGTTTTCTCAAATTTAGTTAATTTTATTTTAAAAAATGTTCTGGAACTTCAAAGAGCTTTAATGCCATCTATTTTTTTCTTTGAGTTTCAATAGTTGATTTTTTTTCTAAAAATCAAGTCCGTATGTTTTTCTGTTCACTTGCGTTCATTGACTCTTTTCCAACTGTCTGTTGGCTATGTTTTTTTAAATAACCTCCAAATCTCTCTCCGAATCTCGCCTCCAGTTTTGGATTTAATTAAAAAATTTTAAATTTAAAATTCTTGGATTTAATAAAATTCTCAAAGTTAAAAATTCTTAACCACGCAGTTGGGTGATATCAGGGTACTCTCAGGGGCAGCAGATCTAGCCTGTAAATGTCACTGCCGGAATGATTTCTTCAAAGAGTTAATAAAAAACATCACAAAAATTGAAATACCCAAGACTGTAGATGGGTACTGTCAGGCTACTCTCAGCGGTTGCAAGTGTTGCCCGTTATTGACTGCTAAGATCTTTTTAGCTTCAAAGTTATAAATTTCTTTGTTATTGTAAATGTTTTTTAAAATCGTTACAATGTTGAAGATTGTTACATCGATTCCCTCATTTGGCTTTGCAGTTATTTTTGGCTGGCGTTCATTAGTAATCTTTTTAGCGAATACCCATCCGCGAATTGCAACACAAACAAGGAGCTTGAAGAAACAGCGCAAGAAAAACAAAATGTCGACAAGGAATTTTTTGAAGCGCGAGCTGTAGCGAACGAAGACAGTTCTAAACCAGATTCAGGAGACTTTTCGTTGAACGCAAAGAATGTAATCACTTCGGTAGATGAACCGCAAGATTCGTCCGCAACGATTTCTTCGCTTTCCGAAAACTATCCGATTGACCAATCAGGTACAAGTGTAGAGATTTCTTCGCTGGAAGAAGCAGGTGATAGTAGACTGACCCCCACATTGGAGGACGAAAATAACCAAAATGACGCAAGAGATAACTTCAATTTTGTTGATGATGATGTTGATGAAAAGTTCCCTCTCGAAGGGGATGATAATCTTGACATGCTGGAATCGGTCAGCAATCAAAACGATTCGGATTCGAGCGAGGAGCACATGCCTTTCCCGGTAGAGCAACCAGAAACAGATGCTCAAAAAGGAACTGAAATATCAAACTTGCAAACGGCTCAGGAAAACCGCGGCTCCTCTGTTTCTCCAGATGTCGTGTCTGAATCTTTGGGCTCTGTCCAGGACAGAATGAAAGCGTTTGGATCAACCGTTGGGTCTAAATTTCAACCCAAATCTAGAAATGCTCCTGCGGTACCAGCTATTCCGGTGTACAGGCCTAAACTGTCACAAAACAACTTAACCTCGGAACCAGAGATGAAGTTTCCTGTTGTAACTGAGAACCGAGGTACAATAGCGGAATCAGTCAGACCTAACTCACAGAACCCGAATCCTAATAATGCGACTTTCGAGGCAAACTTTGGACGCTTTAACTCATATAAACCGACTCCAGTTCAACCGCCGATGTATAGACCAACATATAACGGAAATCAGCCAATGCCCTTCTACGCTCCTCAACGCACAAGTCCTTCTACTAGCGACAGGACAACTTGGTCTGCTTCTGTAAATTATCCAAATAACCCTTCACCTGTTAATCGTTCGCATTTCTCGCCGAACTCGTCACAAAATGGTTCCAACATGACGTTCGACTACAATATTTCAGGATCCGGATCTGTTTTACAACCTGGAAGTAATTTTTCCTCCTTGTCCAGGACCAGCAACGGGTCATCAGGTCAAGGTCAAATTAAAACAAACCCTTACGCACGACCACCACAGACTACCCAGAACGGCAAGCCAATTGTTCCTCCGAGAAATATGACGTCCTACCCACACTTGAACCAAAGTGGTCAGAGTCACTCCCCTGGACCTGAGACGCCGCCATTGTCATCCATAAATCTGGATGACAGTGTTTCCCAGCTCGTAAGTTAAAATTTTAGTGAAAACTAACGTTGCTGTATTTTTTGAAAATTTGTCTTATCTTCGAAGGAAATTTTTCCACAATTGTTTTTCTGCAAAACTTCCATCTTAGGGCATAAGTGTATCTTCTGAAATAAAGTAACTAGGAGAAATCCTATGAATTGAGTTTAGATTGCAAAGCAGAATGTGATGGTGCAGAAATTCCTGCGGCAGTCGATCATCAGAGACGAAGAACAGGCGAATAAACTGCAGGCCACTTGGGAGGAAAGCGGTCAGTTCATAGCACTATTCTTAAGAGAAATTGCCCTATTGTCATATTCATTTTTTAAGAGTTAAGAAGCGGTCAGAGAAATATGCGAGGAAAGCGGTCAGATCATAGCACTATTCGTAAGAAAAATTGCCCAATTGTCATTCATTTTTTAAGAGTTAAGAACAAAGTGAGGCTCTCCCCCCCCCCCCCCACACACACCTCACATAAGTATCGATTTCATGTTGTAACGAGTGGTTTTACAAGGTTGAGTATGAAGACCAAATGTTTGTCATGGTCTAATTAGTGCGTATGCCGAATTTGATAACATTCCGAGATTGTGAACAGAAAAACTACTCTAAAAAATTTGCAGGTGGGGGGGGAAGGAAAAAGCCCAAAGTGAAGACTGATATAGGTCGTGATGATTTTTTTTGTTTGTTGATGATTTTTTTTGTTTGTTTGTATGTTTTCTAATAAAGTCTGAAGTTTGTTCACCCTCGAATTTGATTTTTCGCGGTTTGACTTGTGTTGGCGATTTGTGTCCATTTCCATTTCAGCCATTTCCAATACGCTCTAATAGTAAAAGTGAAGTTTTTAAGTGTTAATGAACGAAAAATGAAATCTACCTTTTACTGGTTTAGTGACAAAGTATATTTATTCAGAAAGGATACCAGCAGAATAAAAAGAAGTCTGACTGATAGTTTTCTAAAATTGAGTTAGTTTTAATCAAAAACATTGTTATCATTTGTAGTTCAAAGAACTTTTAAAGCAGATTTTTGTTCCGATCACTGAAAATGGGAAGAAAAAATTTTTATTATTTTTTAAATTCGTGTTGTTTTTCTGTTTTTTTCGAGAAAAGGAGTGTCGAAGATGACTAATTTATTTATGTTATCCCATTTGACTAAAGTCTTGGCTTTAGTTTGATAGTATCTCATCATATCAGTGACAGAAAAAGACAAAGTTTTTTAAAAAAGAAACTTTTTTGACGTTTTTTGTTGCTGTGGACTGAAATTTCGGGTACTTTTTCAGCATCCGGCTATCGTTATTTTCGTCTGGAATTGTTTAAAAAAAGCAATGATTATCTAAGCTTTTTAGGAGTTCACGAACAGTTTTCGAACTGCTCGTTGGCTATTGTGTTTATCAGTTGTTTTCCTTCGTCTCACTACTTATCTGTTATCTAAGTAAATATTGCACATGATTGTCGAGGTAGTGTCATTGCTGTGTACGGAAAATTGATCGGCTTACAAGATTTTCAACGATTGAAAAAGTTTTTTATGTGCAAAGACGTCCCTATTTTTTTGCCAGCTCATCTGCTTAATGTGAACTTTTCCGCAAAAATATCTTCAACCACAATTTTTTTCGGGAAGTTTACTTTTTGCTAAGTAGCCTTACGCGCAAGGCTTGAAATATCTCATTAGTTTCAGATAAAATTCACTGAAATCAAATATAACTAGTCCAATCATTTTTGCGTTTGTTAATCATGCTATTGATCTTCTAATCTGTTTTTTTTCGTAAATCAACGGATATATTCTGACAATTTCTGCATTTTAATTAGCCGTTATTTTTGAAAAATACCATATGTTAGTCGAATAAATATTCTACAACTTTATTAACTCCGATTTGTTAAAGTTTATTTATTAGCGTTTTCTTTTTAATCGGCTTCAAATGTTTCGGCTGATGTTGTATCGGCAATGTCTCATATTGCGTCGTTTGAGTGAATAAGTTTCTTATATATGTGTGTGTGTGCGTGTTTTTGAGGGCAGGGTATCTAAAACTTTTTTTTGAAGTATTTAATGAAAGTTTTTTTTTCGGCTCAACAGATGTCTGCTTACGTATTGGCTCTTTGAACCCTTCCTAAATTATTGTAGCGATGCTTATTTAACATTCATTTATGCTACTTGATATGAGTTTAATTCATGACAATTTGCGACAAACATAAAAACTACGGTGGATCAAATTTTTTTTCGATGGCGGTTTTCTTTCATTTTTTTGCCCACGAATTTCTCATGCTTTTTTGTATTGTATCACAAGTGGTTCGAAGCTCTACTTCCCTTCGGTGTGAAATATTTCTGCGTGAACCATGTATCTGATTTTGGTGCTTGTTTAAGTTGCCACTCGATAATTGTTTTTAGCAGTTGATAAACGTACTTCAGAGTCTTACACTTGTGGACAAAATGACAGTCAAATTTACGTTTTTGGACAACATTTACTCATAATTTTAACGAAGTTTCTACATCGATCAACAGCAAATGATTTGAACTATCGAAAAGTTTTATTTTTGGATTTGAAGAACTTAGTAGTTTTTTTTCAGTCTGCAAGACCAGTTTTGCCATTTATAAAAAAAATTTCCAATGGTCTGAAATAATAAGAAGCAACAGAATTGAGGAAAGATGCCACACCGAATTAACCAACTTTTTTGTTGGAATTATTTACCATCGCATGATCATTGTTCTACTCCCCTTTTCAAAAAAGTATTCAATCCCATAAAAACCCATTACCATTACATAGATTGAAAACTGGAAATTTCAGATCCGCATTAAATTGGTAAGCTCTTTAAATCAAAAAATGAAAAACAAATTTTAAAGAGTTCTGACTGTTTGCTGTCGTCGATAAAAAATTGCTTAAAATTCTATGTAAATATTGTCCAAAATGTGCCTTGAAATTAGGCATTTTAGTTAACCTTTACTATTGTCCACTAGTGTATAAAGGTCGTGATGACTTTTTTCAGGCTCAAGTTTTTTCGCGGCTTAATTATGTTGTTTCTAAGTTCAGTTCATTTCCTTTGTTGAAAGTAAGGCAAACTCCACTATCAAACAGCAAAGGTCAGAAAAACATAAACGTCTTCTCGTTTCGAAAGTGGATTATTATTTTCAGATTTCTCAGCGAAATATAAAATTTAATTATTGATCCAGTTTTCTCAAATTGGGTTAATTTTATCAAAAAATAGGCAATCATAATTTGTTTTAAAAATTTATAGAGTTGTAAGGCCATCTTTTCTTTGAACTCCGAAAGTTGGCGTTTTTTCAAAGAACAATTCAGTATTTTTTTTCTGTTTTCTTGCGTTCATTAACTATTTTTCAACGGTCTGTTGGCGATGTTTGTATTTTAGTTGAACGCCGTCAATTGTGTTTGTGGACGTGTTTTTTGCTTATAGAACATCATTCCAGAAAGCATTTTGAAGTTTTTTTCCGAATTTTTTTTTGATGTAGTTGGCATTTTTTTTTTGTATTTTTAGTTGGCATTTCCTAGTTTGGACTTGCTTGCGATGGTATTGGATTTTTAAGAGTCACTTCATTTTAGTTATCTAAATTTTTTCATAGTGCTCTAATGTCTTTTTTTTTCTCGAAAACCTCAGTTTAAAAAGAAATATTGACCAATTGTTACTTTCTTCCTTTTGTCGCCAGATATAAGAAGATGTGTTTGGCTGTAGTTAATTTTGTTCGATTGATTATTCGAGTCTGTATTTAGAACGGAAAGCGAAAGAGCAAGACGAGAGGTTAAAGCAGGAGAACCAACGCTACCGGGAAATGGCGAGACGCGTGATAAACGAACAACTGTAAGACAACTCACTCTCTATGCTATTCAACCCAATTAGTCCTAACAGTGTCGTCTTATAACTGTATTCAGCACTTTCATTATTAACTGTCTTCTGTTTTGTCACTTTTTTAATTTATAAAATGGCCTAATATTGGATGCGTGCGTTTAACAGATGAAGCTACTTTTGGTTTGTAAACATAAATGAAAACTTCTTTTTTTTTCGTTTTTTTTTCAGTAAAACTGATATCAACTGAAACCAGTAATTATTATTCTAAGCTAACACGCACAAAAACCAGCAGCACAAATTTATTTCTTTTAAAATGTTTTGAAAACTATCGTGATTAGAATCCTGCTACTTGCATAGGCACCGGCTACAGTTGTTTGAAATTTGAAATAGATCAGTTGTTTGATGTCTCTGATAGCAACCATTTGAATTCCATAGCTCATCTGCTAATCGCTAGCATATGCTCCAGTTTATTTTTAATGTACTTGGTTTGATCTCAAAACTAATATCTCTTCATGTTTGCTGTTGTGTTTTGATTTTAGAACTTACCATCTCAACCCTATCTTACTGACTGGATTTGCGCTGTTATCAAGCTACTCTCAACTTTTACAATACTTACAACTGCTCTTATAACTGAATACTGATTGTCTCAACATCAGAGGATTGAGAAATTGAAATCAGACCCAACTTTCATCCCAGAACAGCTCAAAATAGCCGGCGGTGGATTCGCTCCTGTTTTTGCGTGGTTTACCCGTCCACACATTTGAACTTCTCCCGTTGAACCTCTTTGTAAATGGGAGATTTTTAACTTGGATTGCGCTAACTGAGCCGATATTTTAACTGGTAAATAATTTTCTTAACAATTTGTGTAGCTTTTAACCCCCTAATTTTCACTTGGATCTCGCCGAACTGAAACTATGTTTTTAACAGTTTGTGATTTAACTGTAGGAATCCGAGGCAGTTAGGATTAAGGTGCTTGAAAGTTTTTCAAACAATCAAAGATGGCAGAATTATTGGTAAAAAGAGTTTTTTAAGCCTTGAAACATCATTCATGTATTTATTAAGTGTAAAAGAACGAAGTGATTTTCTTTCAAATAGGTTTTGGTGGCTGTTTTGTTAGCTTTTTCTCAGGAAAAGTCTTTAAAATTGTTCTTATAACTACAGAAATGCATCATTCATATTCATGCATTTATGAATGCTATTAGATATACATGGACTTTTTGAGTTCAATTCCAGTTCATTTGCTAAAAGGAAGGTAAAATTTGCTCTCCAATTACGAATGCGAAAATGGCGCAAAAAAGTGATCGATTATATTTTTTAAGTTTCTCAGCTCAATAAAACTTTTTTACCAATTGATCCAGTTTTCTTCAATATGGTTAATTTGAAGAAAAGGATGCCAAACATGAAAAGGTCTCGAAATTCTCTAAGCTTTTTTCTTCGTAGGTTGAAAAAGGTTCAAATTTTTTCATGCATTTTTTTGGTTACACTTTTCCAATCTTCTATTGGCTATGTTTCCATTAATTATAGCTGAATTGATGGTAGATTTGAGTTTGTTTGATTCGTTTCAGTCCTGTACCTCTGAGCAGGGCCTTTCTGCTGTCCAGCGACAAGAGTGCGGCCGATGCAGCTGGACCCCAGAGCAAGCAGGAGGTGATCCAGTGGTTCCAGCGGGAAGAGCTCGATAGCAGGGCTGGCTGTGAACCACAGTCTGGTGCTATTTGCGTTTGGTTCCATGGTTAGTTCCTGAAAGTTTTTTATATGTACCTACAACTGACCGCTTTGTCTTTCAAAGGGTGGGTGATGCATCGGAAGTAACGACGAATCGTTGACGCAGGCTCAGCACATCGTAAATGCAGCGCCAACTTTGTTGACGCCAAAATTTTTTCGACAACTTCCTTTTCAAAAGAATGTAATTTGACTATTTTTTTTTTCATTTTATCCAGCATTGATGATGCTAGCCTGTAGTTTTCAGATGAGTACTTAACTAAGCTCTCAGACTTTCATACGGAAGAGCTTCATATCCTATTGTTTTGTTGTTCCGACCATTTGAAAAATGTAGAGGATCTGGAATTTTGTATTAGAGTGTGTTTTAGTTTTTTCATGCATAATCAAGTAACACAAATAATCATTGGACTTGGTTGAGTGATATATCATATTAAAGCCTTTTTAGTCGTGATTTGAACGTTTTTAAAAAGTTTTGAAAATTTATTCTCAGTGTTGAGAAAAACCAGTTTGAAGTTTTGGTCTTATTTGAAGCTAAGCATGCTTACAAAACTTTATTTATGCTTAATTTACGCCGTGAAAATTTGTTTTAGATAGAGTAAAGTTTGTTTATGAAGTTTTTTTAGCACCAATTTGGGAATTAAAAACCTCAAAATTCAAAAAGTTTGCAAAACCTTTGTGTTTTACACTTTGCATATTTTACTATGAATGTCGAATTTGCCTAAGTTTTATTTTTTCGTTTAGATTTTTTCATCACACCAACCAGAAAAAACGGCATTAATTTGAAGAAAAAAAAAACATTTTTTTGAATTTTTTAAGACCGATCGGAACATTCTGTGCTAATTGTACAGTAACCGGCTGTCCTTGTTAAAATAAGTTTTGTTCAACTCGATCACATTTTGACTGGAAGCAACGTGGAATCAACAGTGGATCCAGTCAGTAAAGATATTTAAATGTTCAATTGAGCATTTGAATTTATTTAGGTCATAGAAATTATACACAAGTCAGAGAAATTATACACAATTTATGACAAGAACATGTAGAAAAGCTGTTCAGATTGCCGACGAATGACCTTGAAAACCTTTACAAAAGTGTTTCACTTGATACTCTCTCTTTTTGATGTTGGGTCTCTTTTATATTGCAATAAATTGTTTTGCTCTGAACGGCTATTTTATTGAATTTCATCGAACTCAATTGGCATGCTGTTATTGTTTTACTTGGGATATTTTGACGTTGAAAAAGCAAGCCATTGAAAAAAAAAGTTTTTTGTAAATTAGTTTTTGTGTAGGAATCATCAACCGAAGTAAAGCCGAACAGCTATTGCGTCATCTGACAATTGGTTCTTTCCTGGTGCGAGTGAGCGAGAAGATTTTCGGCTACACTCTCTCCTACAAGTCACACGACAGGTGCAAACATTTCCTGATAGACAAACACGACGGAACCTACCAGTTCTTTGGCCTGAACATGAAACGGCACAGCTGTCTTTATGACCTGGTGAACTACCACCGGAACAAGCCCGTTTCAGCCAGTGGGAATGAACTGCTGGTGTACCCGGTGGGACAAGTGAACGGTCAGCCTCTGGACTACGCGGAGTTGTTCCAGAGGAACCTACTGCTGTCGAAACAGAACAGCGCAAACAACCACAACAGTGGAAATTCACTGTCTAGTTTACCGGTTACCAACGGAGGGAATAATATTAATAGTGCGGGTGGACCTGATAGATCGAACGCTGCAAATGGAGCGTCTTCTGCTAACACTTTCGTCTATCCTAACAGAAACTTAGCACTAGCGACCAGGTTTTAAACTGGAAATAGAACTGGATTAAAAATTTATTGATTCGTAATATGGAAATACCTTCTCTTAAAGTTTGAAGCTAAAGTAGTTTTGATATCTTTTGGAAATATTAGTTTATGTTGTATTTAATGGAAGCATGTTGATATAAAACAAATTCATTATTTTGATATATTCGTCTGTGTTCCGATCAAGGTACGGCTGATCGGTATGGCCTTGGGTCGATCGTTTAGGCGGCCCTGGCGAATCTATGTGATAGGGTTTAAAATGAAATGTAGATCAAAGTAGAGGCCTAGAATGTGAAGGCTTAACAGAGGCGAGTATTTGAAATGGTACAGTCAGTTAATGGGAGCTGGTAACCAGTTAAAGAAACTGAAAATAGGCATTGAGAGAAATGCTCTAACTTTTCGATGCGTTGAATAGAATAACCGTTTTTGTTGTATAATGGAAATTAAGTACCCTTGCGATAAGCAAGGGTATTGATATCGGGTACAAGACTTTTTTTCTTAAATAACTTCACAGGAGCTGTTTCATAATTAATTTAAATTTCTGAGCGTTCCTGGTCCACTACGCGTGGAGGTAACGAAAACGCTTGTGACGGAAAAAGTCATGGATTCGAATATGCCCAGGAACAGTTTTTTAAAACCGAAAAATATACTGTTTCAAATGAACATGCCGGTCAATCATCTGCCTGATTATCTTTTGTCGGCTTAGTTGCAACACCTTGGAATCCTTTCTTTTTTGCTGCGCGCATTTTGAGGTTGCTTCAGTGTTTGTTTTGATCCTGCAATTTGTAATTTTATTTAACAGAACTTCGTTTTTCCTTCAAAAAATTTATTTGGCTCAAATTACTTGGCCTACTTTTTATCGGCTTAGTGTTTTAGTTTTGGTCACTAAGCCGTAAAAGTTTTAAATTTGTTTGAATTGGAAAAAGTTTTAAACGTGAAGAGTTTCTGCTCAGGTGTTTTCGGCATTGTCATCGCCTGATTAATTTTGTTCCGATGATGAATTTGCATTTATTGTTTGGGGATGATTTATTTTCACAACTATCTTCTTTCATTTTGATAGATTGAGTTGTATCGCAAGTGTTACGAATTTTTGGTGAGCATAGATCGTTGGTTTTTGCTCAAAAGTTTTTTTTCGCGCGAAATTAAGTGTTGTAACCGGGTACTGGAGTTTTTCCTTGTTCTAAATTTGTAATCAATGCACCACTCTTTTATCTTTCCACGTGGCCTCCCATTTTAACGTTAATTTTACACTAGAATTGCTTTCAACTCCAGTCAATGGGTTTAACTCTAGTGTAAAGAAATCAAATGAAAAAAAATTTCTGGATTGCGTGATTTTTCACTCTGCGAAAAGTTGAACTTGACTCAAAGATTCAATAGTTATTTTTCTTTTTCAGGTTTCTGTGAAATAATACCATTTTCTATTAATCCAGTTTTATCAATTTGAGTACATTTCATTCAATCGCTTAGGGTTGTTTCAGCTCGTTCTATTTTTCAACTGTATTGGTTATAGTTCAAATTTTCGTGCTCAGATTCTGTTTACAGTTAATTTTTCTCGTAGCATTTGGTTCAGAGTTTCTGAGGATATATGTTGGTGTGGTTTTTTAATCGAATCAATTTCTAAAAGAAAGTTTACTCAGTGTGCTGTGGGGATCGATCCTTGGATCTTCGTCATCTTGCGGGGGCTCGCTCATCACTATGTCAATCTGACTATACAGTCGCTCGGTAACGAGTCTTTCTTCAGTGCTCCCTTACAACTTGTATGCTTACAATGTAACACCAATTATTTATCCCTGGTTAGTTGTCCTGCACTACAAAATTGCTTGAAATTGAAATGAGGCAAGATTAAAAGGTTGTAATAATTCCATACACGACCCAAATTGCCGCACTTACCATTTGATATTATAAGCATATAAATCACAGTTTGAAAATTTTTCATCTACTAAAATCTATTTGAGATCAAAAAAATGGCAGTCGGAACATTCAGAGTTTTTCCCTGATACACCGACAATCTTGTTTGCTATATAAACGTTTGTTCATTTCATCACGAAATTTTTGTAGGGCGCTGCTCTTACGAAGCTCAACTTGGTATAAAAATTGAGACTAAATTCGCAAAAATTATACGGTTTGAGCTGCTCATTTTCTTACTGGCATGGGACTCCTATGCAACGCGGGAGTCTAGTAAGCCGCAGGTAATGATCCGGACCAACTTTACTGCAGTAGTAATGTTTTTTTTTTTGGTTTATTGGACTTCGGCTTTGAATTGTTTGGGTTCTTTTTTTGTTTTGCTTTTTGACTCCAAAAAAATTAGCAAGCGTTTGTGGCCACAGTGGGTTTTCTGAAGAGACTAACTTTATTAAGGATATTAACTTATCTGGAGACTGGCTATTAAGGATATTAATTTATCTGATAAAAATGAGACATTTGAAACTGCGCGGTTTTGTTTGGACCACGCGAAAAAAAATGACGCAACTATGACTAGGGTGGATTGATTCTTTTGCATTCGACTTAAGCTATCCCCGAAGTAAAATCATATGTAATTTGTAGCGAGTAACATGTCAAAGCACTTTAGATTGTAAATAGCATTCGGTCAATACACTCGAAAAAATCGCCATTTATCTCATTTCATCGGCTTATAAGGCGCTGGCTTCGATTTTGACAGGATGTGTTTTTTTTTTCAAATGGTAAAAAAACGGTCGCATCGTAAAAGTGTGTTTTGTAGTATGCGTCATTTTGCTGTACTCAATTTACATTGTAGTTTTTTATGGTTTTGATTTTTTCTGCTGTTTGTAGTTTTACTAGCCTTGACCTCGCATGAACTTTTCTTTCTCTTTTTTTTTGCTTAAAAATTTTGGCTTTGTTAAAAAGTTGATTATATCATCTTATAAAATTATTGTTCTAATTTTGAGTTGTTTAAATGAAAAGGTAATTTGCTTGCGTGATTTCTATGGCAACAATTTATTTTCAATTTTTTTGTTTTGGTTTTTTCTTCTTGATAGGTTTTGGCTTTAATGAAACCGGGTTAATAGCCTTATATGGCATCTTTCGACGAGCGAAAAAAAGCTTGTATATGTGGGTGTGTGATTTGATGGTGAGGACTTTATATCTTTTTTGGTTTTTCAGATTTTTCATTATTGATTTTCAGAGTTGTTTACAGGTTGTTTTTTGTTGAAATTGCTTGAAACTTATGCAGCTTTTTTGGAATTGTTCTCATTTTTGTTCCTTGTGATTTTAGTTTATAGCAAATGTTTCTGTTGATATTACAGCCAAACTTTTCTGTAGGATATGCAAATTATTTGGTTGCGAGAATTTGAGTTCAATTTTTCATTACATTAAGATTTTTTAGATCTCGTTTTTTTCTGAGGGTTTTTTTGGAGTGTTTTCATCTACTGGATATGAGAAAGCAATGAATGGAGTTCATGTAGCTTGAATGGATCTTATGCTTTAGATAAACAATTTTTTTATAACAATGCAAATAATTTTTTTTCACAAGAATTCATTTAAGTTTTCCATTTTTCGTTTGAGACACATTAGCTATTGATTTTTGGGATTTTGATATTTATAGCAAGCGATCGAAAGCTCAGCTTGGCATCTGTAATATTTTAAGTTGATCTACTTTTTTGACAATTTTCATAACAATTATTTTGAGCTTGTCGCTTTCCCTTTATTCTTATTTTGTCGGAAGGTTATATCCCCTGCTTGTGATTTATCTTAAGAGATGCGAAGCTCAGTTTTTCTTTTTGTTCCGACTTTCGATACCAAAGTAACGGAATATTTGTGCTCGGGGTGGGTTTTTTTTTCTTCAGACAAATTTCGACTTCTTAACTAGCCATTTTTTACGGAATTTTTTTTATATCATTCGAAAGCTATTGTTGTCTTGAGCTCAAATTTGAAAAGATATTTCACCTGTGATCATTTTTCGTAAAGTTATGGGGGTTTAAAGATTGTCATTTTGGCCAATTTGGGACAATTAACTCGCGATATATTTCGCGCTTTTAACGCGTAAGCGGAGAGTTAATCCGTCTTAAAATCGTTCCAAACTGGTTGAAAGAAGCTTATTTGCCATAATTGATTTGTTACAAGGAGCGAAATTTATCCTTTTGTATTTTATATGGCGTGTGGGGGGATAATTTTTATAAAAAAATTCAAATTTTAAAAAAAAAATTTCATTTCATTTCTATTACATTTAATTTTTTGATGTTATTACTGCTCCATAAAACCTTAAAAGGCAGTCGGAATATTCAGGGCTTTGCCCTGATACGAGCAGTCTTGTAACAATTTGTATTTACTTGAAAGTTTGTGCAAACAATAATTATAACAAAAAACTCGAAATGAGGGTAGTGACTAAGTGAAAAAACAAGCCGCGAATAGTGTGCTTTGAAAAGGCTCGGTAAAATCATGAACGTGCTTGTTTGCTACAACACTTTAATGGCACTCAAGTTCTCACAACTGGCAAATATAATCGATCCTGGTGCTGATAATTGTTGGCTAATTTTGGGACTAAAATATATTTTCCGAAAAAGTATATTGTAATGTGAATTCGTAAAAATAAACTGTTTAAATATCGCCAATTATTGTCCATACCTTTTTTTAATTTACACCATACTGAACGTACTCGCTCGAAACAGCCACGATATCACAGTAAGCCCGACTATGATTCATATTTTGTACCACAATGAAACTCTCCGTTCTGAGAAAATATGTTTGAAATTGTAAGTTTTTTGTGTCACTGTTTACGACATGATGACTGCCCAGAAAACGTGTGTAAACTGCAGTGTATAGCATCCCAACTTTCATAAATTAAAAACTATTTTAGTTGATTATGACTATGTTTTTTGAACATTCGATTCCTTTTTCTTCATTATAGGTCATAATAATTTCTCATGTATGTTTCGATCCGCTAGGTCTCTCTAAGTTCTTCTCGCTTTTGTTTACTTTCAATTGAGCATTTTTCAAAGGAATTAGTTGTCCACAGACTCATTAAACTCCTGGTGGTACCTTCCTTGGCTGATAATGAATTCAGATTTAGTTTTATCTCTTGCACACAGCCTGATGGTAACGAATACGCCTAGGACGGCAAAGGTCCTGGGTTCGAAACTGACCAGGACCAGTTTTTCAAACTGTAATT